CAAGCCCCAGGGTTTGTTTGCAGGGCCGCTGCCCCCTGCCCCACGGCTTCCTGGGCCCCTCTGCACATACCTGACTCCAGCTGGAAGGGGAGTCTGGATGAACTGGGATGGTAGGGGGCTGCTTTCCGCTCCTGTCCAACTGGCCGTCCGTCTTCCCACAAAGCCCCCATGCCCCCCGGTAAAACAGCCTGCAGGGGTTTCGGTGGTGCATCACCTGTCGACCCGGGCCAGGTGCCGCAGGGCCGGTGTCAGTGCTAAGGAGCCCCACTTGATATGGGCTCGTCCTGGGAGATGGATGGAGTGAGGGACTGCAAGGCTGGATCCTACCTAGGGTATTGGGGAAGCAGCTCTAAGGACCGGAGCCAAAGCAGGTGAAGTCAAGAGGATGGTTAGGAGAACAGCCCAGGGGAGACAGGGTGACTCCAAGGTGGCAATGGAAGGTAATGCTAGAAAACACAGGAGCAAATGAAAGGAAAGATCACTAAGGGTGTTTCTAGACATCCAAAGACATACCCACACCTTGAGGAGCCATAGCTGTGCCAGCTCAGGTCCCGAAGGGAGCACAGCTGCCTGAGCCCACCTGGGACCTCACTAGTGGCTGAAGCTCACACCGTTAGCAAGATCAAAGCTGTTTTAATCACCAGCTGCCAAACCTCTGGCGGTGCAGACACGCCGATGGCTCAGGGAAACTTCCCAGTTGTGCAATCTGCTGGAACGCCTCTCGCCAGGGAGGTTGCGATGTCCCAGCTCCAGGGCTAGGTTGGAAAGCTTGCTCCAGCAGTGCTCCTGCTTTGGCAGAGGGACGGGCGGGACGGCCCAAACCAGAGGGTTTGGGGGTTTTTTGCTTTCGTTCCATTTCTGCCCATTGTGGTGCATGGATCAGTCAGAGCCGGCTGGAATATATGGACGCCAAATGTCCCATGTTGCTTCATCAGCTCAGGGGATGAGTGTCGAAATCAAGCCCAGGCTGGGGGGCCTCCAGCGTGGCTGCACAGCTACTGGTTACCCCATCCCTAAGCCGAGAGATGCGGACTGTCTGTGTGCAGGGTGGTTTGTAGGGTGACTCCAGCCCCAGCTTTATCTGGGGAGCCTGGGTCTGTGTCTTAGCCCACCCGTGGCAGTGATACCCTGGGCACAGCAGTGTCTGCTCCTGGGTGATATCGCCAGCCTCCTCCCGCAGGAGGATGAGGATGCAGGATCTTTGAGAGGTGCAAGACAGGGAGAGAGCGTGGAGCTAAAGATCAGAGACAGCTGGGAGTTTTCCAGTGATTTTGGGTGGGGGCTTAGAAAACATCCCACATGAGCCAGGGGCAAAGGGCTTGGAGCCAAGCTAGCGTAATCCTGGGCTGGACCCTGTGCTCAGTGACAGCCGTGTCTGTCCAGAAGAGCAGACGCCGGCGTGAGCAGAGCCTGGACGTGGCTGCTCTGCGTGTGGCCATAGCGGCCAAGGACACAGTCCAGCTACGTGCCCATCAGTGCTGTGGGGTGGGTGGGCAGGGGCTCGCAGCAGAGTACCAGCCTCCTGCACGCACTAGTGGTGACCTCCACCGCTCACCCCAAAGCCGAGCTGTGCTCCCCAGCTCGCGCTGCTGTTTCTTCCTTTGTTGTCTGGATCCCGAAGCGGGCACGGCCCCCTATCTGCCCCACAGCGGCTCTGCCCCCTGGGCTCCAAGGCCTTCTCTCGTCCCTGCCCCTCGCTCCCGCCCTGCCCCGATGTGTTCGCCCCTTCTTGCTCTGCCTTTTGCCGTGGCTTTTCCTTCCCAGCAGACCTCCCTTCCCAGCCCACCACAGCCTATCCTCCTTGGGACCACAGGAATGAGTTCGTCAGGCACTCGTGACGTGCAAACAGAGATAACGCGCTGCCCTGCCTCGGGGCTGAATGTGCTCGCTGTGCTGCTCTTCAGCTCAATGCTCCCAGGAGATCCTGGGCACAGGCTTGCCTCCCTCCCTGCTCTCACCCACCAATCCCTCACCCCCCTCCAGACTGCGCTCCCAAGGCTCCTTTCCCCTCCCCAGAGATCTGCCAGCCAGCCCTGACATCCACCAGGCCTCCCCTGCCCTAATCTCTCCACCCCGCCTGTCCCAGCCTTGTCCAGAAACCAGCCCTTTTAAAGTCTGCTCCCCAGTGCTGCACTGATTACTGCTGTGGCTGACGATGTTACTCTGGATGGGGGGACGGTGGCATGGGGGCTAGTCCCACATGCATTGCTTCAAATATGGTGGGGATGCACCTTTTTAGGCTCACCCTGCTGAGGTCTCCAAACAGCAAAGGGTCATCGAAGAAAACAACCCAGGACAAGCTGTCAGCATTTTTATACCTTCCCCGAGAGATTTTTAACAGGATCAGAGGTGTCAATGTGCAAAGCAGCACGTTCAAATCCCACCCTCTCATGACCTTCAAGTCTGGGGATAAACAGAGGGTGTAAACCAGCGTCGTCTCCAAATGGAGAAGGACACAACGGGGAAGGGGAAGGGGAAGGCTCAGTGTTTGCATGTTTTGCAGAGACGTGTATCAAACCCAGCTATTATTTATGAGTTAGGAAGCACCGTGATGCTAATACGCAGAGGCGATGCCGTGCCGCTGGCCTGAGGATCTCAGCGTGCTGCACAGACAGTCCCTGCCATGCATACAGGTAAACTGAGGCACAGAAAAATCTGCGCCCATGATTCAGGAGGGCAGAGCCCAGGGGATCTGGCTTTGGTCCCATCCTCTAGCCACCACCCCCTGACTGCCTGGTGAGGGAGAGGCAGATTTTACTGCAAGGAGGTTATTTTGCCCAAGAAGAAGGGGAGAAAGAAACAAATCTTTTAAGAAGGGAAAGGGGCAAGTTCAAGACCAGGGAGGGGAGCAGGACAGGGGGCACTGGAGGAAAGAAAGAAAACAGCCACTCAGTGAGGGGTTAATAAAATCTTCCTAAGAGGTAGGCTCAGCCTCCTGCTCCCCCCCTTAAAAAGGTATGAATCACTGAAAATGTGACAAGCCAGGCTCCTGTCCAGAAAACCTAACAGTCTGCCTGTCTGTCCGCTGCAGTTTTTACCTGTAGCGCCCTGCATCTGCAAAGACCCCCCTGCCATCAACCTGACAGATAACCACCTGGGGCAAATCAGCAGAGCTGCCAGGGGTGGGGGGCAGTTCACAGTAGGCATCAGGTATGTGGGAAGACACCCCTGTCCTGCCCTAGCCGGGTATGAACATCACCGTGGCGGGGGCTCCGCTCGGGGTCCCATCCGCTCATGCCCGCAGTCTGCTGATGCCCTCCCGGATGGGAGCACGGCTCTCATCATTGCTGCCCCTACTCCCAGACTCCCTCGCTCTCATTCAGCTCTGCCTGGAGGCCGCGCCGGGTGCCAATGGGGAGCATCGCAAGCTCCAGCTGGGAGGTGCTGGGAACCAGGACGGAGTCTCGCTCCCAGTCACCACTTCCCCCCCGCGGGAGCAGAGCAAGCGCAAGCAAGGAGCGCTGAATAAATGTGCCCAGCTGTTGCACTGGGTCAACAGAACGACAAGGGCCTGGCAGAGCTGCCCAGGGGCCGAACCGAAGCCCTGTGGTCCTAGAGACCGGCGCACAGCTGGGGGGCCTGCCAACCACGGCCAGGCCGCAATGCAAAAAGACGAAGGGCAATGCCCAGGGCCTGGCTCAGCTCGCGCTTGCACGGAGTCCCGGGTGCAAAACCCTCATGAGAGCAATCTGGGTCAGGTGCCTGGTCACTACGAATGCCCCGCACATCACGGGGGCTTGCGCTGGTGCAGAGACAAGGACCATTTCCTCAGTTCCCCCCACCCCTAAATCGGAGCCCAGGGACTGCGAGGGAGCGTTTGAATGTCCCGTGATCCTGGGGATCACATGAAGTGACACCAAAAGGCATCAAGGAGATGATCCCTCATCACCTAGGCTTGGAGTTCTCAGTGGGGACCCCCAACACCACCTTTAGGGGCTCCAGTGGCTGCTGAAACAGCGATAGACATTTCCTAAAGGGGCTTTGTGGCAGCCCATGCAGGAGATGAGACCCATGGATATCTGCAGGCAGCACCCACAGTCATAGTCCTCCATCGACATTTCCATCCCGACTGCTTGAGGCTGCAGACTGGACACCTCGGTTGCACCCAGGAGCCAAAGATGCAGCTGGGCTGGGAGTGACTTCAAAATCCTGCTCCTGGTTTACGCTGTGACCACGGACAAACCACCCTGGCTCTCTGCCTCGATTTTCTTATCTGGAGGGTGGGACTAGCCTTGCTGGCTCCTCTTTGTGACGGGTGAAGAGTCCCCAGCGTCATGACCTACCCCCTTGCTGCTCACTCCCTCCAGGGTTATAACTCAGCTCTGTGGCTTTGCCTCCCCAGGGGCACATTTAGGTGGCACCCACCACCATGCCAGCTCCATGGTACAACAAGACGCATCTCTGTGCAAAGCAAGGGGATGCCATCATGCTAAAAATGAGAACCTGCAGGAGGAGGAAAGTGCCCTGCAGGACTCCCCATCTTAGCACAAAAAGCATGCTCCATCCTGGGCACGTCTACACATTCATTAATGTGCCTTAGTTACTGCACATTTCGTTTAGTACTTGCCCAGTGCAGTACAAGCTAAATGCGCAGTAACTAGAATTACTATGCGGTAGCACCAGCACACGGTTATTTTGTGATGCTTTCCATGCCTTAGCCTAATAACACTGCACCGTAGGCTATTAGCACAGGTTTTGCCTGCCACGCCACTGCGCAGTGTTATTAGGCTAAAGCGCAGTAAGCGTCTTGTGTAGACACCACCAGGGAGAGCAAGGGGCAGAGCAGCCAGACCCAGGAGCTTGGGGGCACATCTGGAGAAGGCGAAGCCTTCCCAGTTGCAGGGCAAGCAGTGAAAATGCCTCTGGGGAGACGAGCAAGAAGCCGCCAAGTGCCGGACCTGGAGTGATTTCCCTGCACATCTCAGAGGAGGCTGCAGGGATGCAGCGGAGTTAGGACCCTGCAGGGCTCCATCCTCCCTGCTCTTTCCTGGACAGGGAAAGCTCGGGGCGGGGCTGAGACTTCAGCTCCCCATAAACCTGGCTGCGGAGCCAGGATCCCGGGCAGATGTTCCAACTTTTTGCCTCCTCCAGTTTGTTCAGGAGGGAACTTTCTTTCTCTTGCCCTCTGGCTCCGCTCTCCCACTGCTGGCAGCTTTCTCCTGACTCAGGAAGCACCTTCCCCAGCCTTGGAGGACTTCAGGGATTCTTAGGAGGCAAAGAAGTGGGGGCGGGGGGGGAATAAAACAAAGGAAGGAAGGACGAGAATAATGGTATTCTGCAATGGTGAAGGAACCCCCACGGAGCAGACCGTGAGGAGGGGAGAGTATGGTTCGGCACCCAAAGGTGAGGGTGAGGACGCCCCAGCTGTGAGGTTGAACTTTAGCTCTAACTCCCACAGGAGTTTGAATATAAAGATCATCGTTCGCTGAAACGCGGCTCGATGAGCCCTTTGGACAGCCAGGCAGGGACCCGGCTGAACTGGGAGAGACTCCAGCGTGTTCTCCAGCAAGGGGCTTGTGCGGTCGGTTTAGAAACAGCGGGGAGTCACTCCAGCGCTGGGACACGTCTCGGAAACTCTTGGAACTGTTCTTAATAACATCCCGGAGGAAATTAACTTGACAGGGCACGTGTCCTCCGTCGGCTCAGCGCGAAGATTAGCTTCTTTCTGCTTAGAAGTGCCCAGCCTGGGTGGATCACGTTGCTTCTTTTCTTCCCCGGGGTTGCTGGAGAGCTGATCCTGCAAAACTTGCCTGGGACAAAGGCCGGAGTGGAAGCAGAGCCTGGGATTCCTGGAGCGTACTGGGATTTGGTAGCTTCCCTTGGACATTTGCACGATGGCTGTCTATGCCCTCACGGGTTTCTCCTTTGTCAGCCTGCTGGGTTTCGGCTACTTGTCCTGGGACTGGATCAAGCCCAGCTTGGTATCCGATGTTTCCATGGACCCAATGGAGAAATCCTTGCCTCCCACCTTCGCCAGCCCGCCTCACATCATCTTCATCCTGACTGACGACCAAGGCTACCACGACATCGGGTACCACGGCTCGGATATACAGACGCCGACGCTGGACAGGCTAGCGGCAGAAGGGGTGAAACTGGAGAATTATTACATACAGCCCATCTGTACCCCGTCCCGGAGCCAGCTGATCACGGGCAGGTAAGGCACCAGCTTCACCTGCGCACTAGGCTGGGGGACTTTTTCCCCTCCCTTTCCTTCTGGCCACTTAATCCCAGTTCGCGGCTGCAGGCAGGGATGGGCTACATGCTCACGGGGTGACTGACAGCAGCTTGGAGGTGGTGAGGTATGGGCAGAAGAGGACTCGGGTCCTACAGAGAAGAGCTGATGTGTGCACTGCATAAGCAATAACTCCAGCAAACTTCTCACGGGGCAGGGAGCTGAATCTGGCTGTGAGCGGGTCCAGCTCCTGCGGATCAGCAGAAACACACACCAGAGCTGAAGGCAGCCACTTCTCCTGGGGTGTTGCCTGGGGAGGGTCCAACCTTGAGATGCCCGAGACAGACTGCTGGCCCCTGCTCTGTTGCAGTCACACACAAGTCACTTAATCGCTCCGTGCCTCAGTTTCCCACCTGTGGCATGGGGACAGTGGTCCTGCCTTGCCTCCTGGGGCATTGTGAGGAGACCCGCACTAAAGGCAGTGAGGGGCTTCACAGCTACAGCAACACTCAAGAGAGACAGCGGGTCTAGGGGATGGAGCATCAGGCTGGGGGGCAGGAAACTGGGGGAATATTGCTGGCATGCCACTGACTGGTCCAGCTGGTGCCTTCATAGGAAAACCCAAATCACTGCAATTTTTCAAGGCTGCAGCCAACTCCTGTGCCTCAAGCTACCTGCCTGTAAAATGGGCTAGCAAAAGATACCTGCATTTGCCAAGCCCCTTGGCACTTGGGCATGCAGTGCCAACACACAGGCAGCTTCCCCCCAGGCTCTGCATGTTTACCAGTAGGGTTGCCGTCCTCCCTGGGGCATCTGCTAGACTCGCCTCTAGTAGTCGTGATAATCCTTAACACGTGTACAGCTCTCGCTGCTCGGTTGCCTTTGCCTTGCAGACCCCCCAGAGGTACATGCAGCTGGCTGGGAGTCCAGGGTGAGCCCCTACAGAGAGGCCCACGAAGCATGCCTGGTGGGTCGTTCTCGATGCTTGTGGGACCCGTCCAGGCGGGGCTGGGAGCATTGTGCCGCGTGGTCCCGGGCGAGCGAGGGCCCAGGTAGAACAGGCGGTGCTGCCCTGCATCTGGAGACCTCCAGCTTTGCTCCCGTTTCCCCCATAACAGGCTTCCTAACACCCCCAGGAGACTCTGGAGAGGCATCCAGCTCCCTGGCACAGCCCTGACTCATCTCGCTCAGGGGAATAGCCCGCTGTGGAGTGACCGCGGCTTGTACGATCCAGCCTTTGCTCGGGGAGCTGCCCAGCAGCTGTGCGAATGGCCAGCTGCAGGGGCCAGGCCTGCTCCATGCACGGTTTGTCGCGGTCTGTGTCCCCAGTGATCCAGGTTGCAGCGGACCCGGAGGGAGCAGCTTGGCTGGGAGCGTGCTTGGGGTCCCTGTCAGTGAAAGAGGTTTCCCAGCCACGCAGAGGAGGAGAACGGGGACCCTGGATCAGAATTAATGCCCCTCTTCCCTTGTCCTCCACCCCATGTGCAGGTACCAGATCCACACCGGCCTGCAGCACTCCATCATCCGCCCCCGACAGCCCAACTGCCTGCCCCTCGACCGGGTCACCCTGCCCCAGAAGCTGCAGGAAGCCGGCTACTCCACGCACATGGTGGGCAAGTGGCACCTGGGCTTCTACAAGAAGGAGTGCTTGCCCACCCGCCGCGGCTTCGACACCTTCCTGGGCTCCCTGACGGGCAACGTGGACTATTACACCTACGACAACTGCGACGGGCCGGGCGTCTGCGGCTACGACCTGCACGAGGGCGAGAACGTGGCGTGGGGCCAGAGTGGGAGGTACTCCACCGTCCTGTACGCCCAGCGGGTGAACAAGATCCTGGCCACCCACAGCCCCAAGCAGCCCATCTTCATCTACGTGGCCTTCCAGGCTGTGCACACCCCGCTGCAGTCGCCCAAGGAGTACATCTACCGCTACCGCTCCATGGGCAACGTGGCGCGCCGCAAGTACGCCGCCATGGTGACCTGCATGGACGAGGCGGTGAAGAACATCACCTGGGCGCTCAAGAAGTACGGCTACTATGACAACAGCGTGATCATCTTCTCCACCGACAATGGCGGGCAGACGTTTTCCGGGGGCAGCAACTGGCCCCTGCGAGGCCGCAAGGGCACCTACTGGGAAGGCGGGGTCCGCGGCATCGGCTTCGTCCACAGCCCCCTGATCCAACGCAAGCGCCGGACCAGCTGGGCGCTGGTCCATATCACGGATTGGTACCCCACCCTGGTGACCCTGGCTGGGGGCAACGTGTCCGCCGCGGAGGGCTTGGACGGCTACAACGTGTGGCCGGCCATCAGCGAGGGCAAGGCGTCGCCCCGCACGGAAATCCTGCACAACATCGACCCCCTCTACAACCACGCCAAGTACGGCTCCCTGGAAGACGGCTTCGGCATCTGGAACACGGCCGTGCAGGCCTCCATCCGGGTCGGGGAGTGGAAACTTCTGACCGGCGACCCAGGGTACAGCGACTGGATCCCCCCGCAGACCCTGACCAACTTCCCCGGGAGCTGGTGGAACCTGGAGCGCCTGACGCACGGCCTGCGCAAGTCCGTCTGGCTCTTCAACATCACGGCCGACCCCTACGAGCGCTACGACCTGTCGCAGCAGCGGCCGGACGTGGTGCGGGCTCTGCTGACGCGCCTCGTCCACTACAACCGGACGGCCATCCCGGTGCGGTACCCTGCCGAGAACCCCCGGGCCCACCCGGACTTCAACGGTGGCGCCTGGGGCCCGTGGGCCGGCGAGGACGAGGCGGAGGAGTGGGAGGGGATGGGGGAGCGGCTGCGGAGCAAGAACCGAAAGAAGAAGTGCAAGATCTGCAAGCTGCGCTCCTTCTTCCGGAAGCTGAACACCCGGCTCATGTCGAACCGCATCTGACGGGGGCACCGCGCGCAACCTCGGGGAGGTGGGGTAGAGAGAGACCGCCGCCTGCCCTCGCTTCCCTGGCACCTGGGCACGCTGGTGCAGGACCAGGGGGGTTTCCCTCCTGCTTCTCCTAACTTCTACCCCCTGGGAGCCATCAGCAGGGATGGCCACTGGTCTAAGCTGGGCAGGCATCCAGGGTAGGGGGGGATTGAGGAGCCTGCAGCCCAGCTCAGCGCCTGTTGTATCCGACCCTGGTTAATGAGCTGCTTCATCCCGGGTACGGCCCAGCCCAGCCCAGCCCAGCCCAGCCCCTTCAGCTCTGGGGGAGGCTAGCTTTGAATGCAAGGCAGGCAGCGCCTGAGACTGTAAGGGAGGTGGGAAGAGAAGACAGCGTAGGGCGAGCCTTCCTGATTTGTCTCTCCCTATAAAGTTTGTAGTACACGTACAAAACTGCGCCGCATGTGCTGCACTGTGTTCCCCCACTCGGGGCCCTCGGGTGTCCCCACACCACCCCCTTTCCTGGGAGCTGGGTTAACTTATTTTTAAGGTGCTGGTCCCTGGCTCAGACCCAGGGGCGGCAAGAGGTGCCTAACCCCCATAAGCACAGGGCGTGCGCAGGCGTGGGACGGTGTGGACAGGCGATGCACCAGCATTAAAAGCAACGGGGCTTGAGATGTTTCCAGCCCTATCATGCACACAGCCATGAGTATATACGCACACATGCATGCCAGCTTATGTACATCGAAAGGGTGCTTACTGCATATATGTATCATGTGTTTGCCACTAGCACAGTTTACACCAGTTACGACTTACCCCCGATCCAGACGGCCTGCTTTATCCCAGCGTAGCCGACCGCCGGCTGCTATTGCAGCCCCTCGGAGCTAGGTGGAGGACGTGCTGATGTCAGGTGTCGAGGCAATGAGCTTGACCGGGGCTGACTGCCCTGATTCTCTGGCCCCCGTGCCCCTGCGGTGAGGGGGTCGTGGAAGAGCTGAGCTGCCTGCCGCTGCCTGCATCCCAGCCTCGAAGCTGACCCAGGAGCAGGGGACATGATCTCCCTCCCTCTGCAAGGTGTGCACTCGGGCACTGATGTTCCCATAGGATCCATCCTGACCTGGTGGCAACTGCAGTCCAGCCAGGCTACGGGGGTGGTGGAGGAGGAGGGGTCTGTGCTGGGCTGAAAGTGAGAGGGGTCCCTTGGGCAGGGTGCTACCTGCCTGGCTTGGCCACAGCACGGTCCTCGGTGATCCACAGGCCTGGCTGTAGGAGGAAGAATACCCATCACACCGCCCCCCCGCGGGGGCTCAGCTGAGGGGTCGCCTGTTCCTGCCTCCCTTGGCTGCCTGTTCCTTCAGGCATGTGTGTGTGTGTGCACATGCATGCACACATGTGCGTGTGCATCCAGGATTGCAAGCTCATGTGTGTGTGTCCTTGGCTACCTCCTCTTCCTCCAGACATTACTCTGTGTGTGTGCACCTGTGTGTGTGTGTGTGTGTGTGTGTGTGTGTACATCCATGATTGCAAGCATGTGTGTGTGTGTGTGTGTGTGTGCGTGCCTGCATGTGCCGGGGAACGAAGGCCGGCCAGGAAGAAAGGATAAATGGCTTTAAAAGCTTTGCGAGCGCGTGGCGCATTTACATTTACACAATGCGTTTTACATTTCTCCCCCCAGGTTTCTCTTGGTGCAGTGTGTGTAGGCGAAAGCCCTGCTGTGAATTTTGAAAATAGTTATTTTTGTCTCTGGAAAATGAGGCCCGTTAGGACTTGTCAGCTCTTGGATGAGCCGTGTGGGGGGTTTTTTCTCTCCCCCCCCTTGCAAAATAACATTCATTTAAAATCTGTCAGTGAAAGATGTGACAATTGGCAGAATTTCTCCTGAATACCTTTTGGTGTGCTTTCAAGCTCGGTGTGTGTGAGGGGGGGCCAGGGGAAGAGAAGGAAGGGGAAGGGAGAGGACTGTATTGACACATCTGTAGTTTGCTCTTAATTCCTATTTGGATTATTTGGGAGAATGTGATTCTGCAGAGGGGAAAGGGAGTGAAAAAAACAAAAGGGAAGAAAAATGGGAGGCTGTGTTGAGATGAGGAAAATAGGGGTATCTGTCTATGGATCCACCCACCCATCCATCCATCCGCTCACCCACCACCCATCCATCTATCCACCTACCTGCCTCCCTGTTATACTCCTGCCGTGTCCATCCCTGCACTAGTCTGCAGATGGTCCCATGTGGACAGACCCCCTTATGGAGGTCAATGTGGGTCTCTTGGAGGCTGGGTCCTGGCCAGCTGATGTTGGAAATGCGTCGAGTTTGGGGTCACCTCTGGGTGGGCAAGACTGGGGTCCAGCAGCCAGGCTGGCTGGGATCTGCACTCACTGCACGTCTCAGCGACCCACCCGGTGTTGGAGACGGGCAGAGAAACATCTCTGGCTTTGGCCCATGCCTGGAGCCCGCAGGCAGGATCGCGACCACGAGCTGCTGCTTCCCAAGAACAGGCGCAAAATCTCTTCCCAGCAACCATAACCCAAGGGAAGAGGCTTAGCGTCCCCCGGGACCACCTGGCACAGCTGCAGGGCAGTGACTTCCACCCTCCCCCTGCGACGTGCTTCCTGTTTCCCGACCCACCGCTGGGATTCGGCCCAACGGCAGTGATGCATTTTGCCAGGGTCCCATATTCAAGCATGTGCTTCGACCCCCTCCCGCCCATCCAAACACATAATGCAGTGAACTGCTGCCTCTACGACGGAGGGGTTTAAACCCGTGCTGGAAATTCAACACATCTTGCTGAATCAGGGGCTTGGGGAAGTCTCCATGCGGGGCAAGGAAACGGAGGACAAAGCACTAACATAGAGGTCAGAGGCTGCATCAAGAGGAGGAGGTAGCTGCGGCCAGGAGGTCCCTTCCAGCCCTGCTTTCCTATGATCCCATGATCATGATCACCTCTTGCACGTAACACAATGGTGGGTGATGGCAATGGCTGTCACAACCAGACCGGCCGTGGGAGGGGGCGACAAGACATAGTCAGTGTTCCTGATTTAAATAATATTGGGGTTTTGGGGGGGGGTGGCAGATGTTGAGATGTGGGGCCTGGGGGCCAGGCTGGCGGGAGCTCTGCAAGGTGCACAACGGGCCCTTTATTGCTCGACATCATCACCCACTCCACGGCTCCCAACCTCACAGCAGGCGAGACCCAGCTTGTCCTTGTGCTTTCCTAGGATCACAATCAACTTGTGCCCGGAAGCCAAGCTGTCTTGCCCGACCCCACCGGTTGCCCACCTGTCCTTT